CCTAGCCCTAATTTCTATCCTAGCCCAAGGACTCACATATGAATGAATCCAAAAAGGGCTCGAATGAACTGAATATGGTAATTAGTTTAATTAAAAACAAATGATTTCGACTCATTAGACTATGAATAATACATAATTACCAGAATGCCATATATCTACATCAATCTTCTCCTTGCTTTCCTAACATCCCTCCTAGGTATATTGATATATCGTTCACATCTTATATCTTCCCTACTATGCCTAGAAGGTATAATACTCTCAATATTTATTATAACTTCACTAACAATCCTAAATCTTCACTTCACCTTAGCTAACATAATCCCAATTATACTTCTAGTGTTCGCAGCCTGCGAGGCCGCTGTAGGATTAGCCTTACTAGTAATGGTATCAAATACATATGGCCTAGATTATGTACATAACCTAAACCTTCTACAATGCTAAAAATTATTTTACCAACATTAATAATAATCCCATTAACATGATATTCTAAAAAACACTATTTGAATTAATACCACAACCCATAGCCTAATAATTAGCTTCATCACCCTTTCTCTTTTAAATTATTCCCATAACAATAATACAAATTTCTCACTCATCTTCTTTACTGATTCCCTATCAACACCACTACTAATCTTAACCACCTGATTACTCCCTTTAATAATCATAGCCAGCCAAAACCACCTATCAAAAGAACCACTTGTTCGAAAAAAACTATATGTCTCCATACTGACTATACTTCAAATTTTCTTGATTATAACCTTTACTGCTACAGAATTAATTTTCTTCTATATCCTATTTGAAGCAACCTTAATCCCCACCCTAATTATCACACGATGAGGAAACCAAACAGAACGACTAAATGCCAGCCTTTACTTTTTATTTTATACACTAATTGAATCACTTCCCCTACTCATTGCTCTCATCTATACCCAAAATCTTCTAGGAACATTAAGCATAACAATTAACTCTCTTATTACACTGAACCTCCCCAACTCTTGATCAAACAACATTCTTTGATTAGCCTGCATAATAGCCTTTATAGTAAAAATGCCTCTATACGGACTTCACCTATGACTACCCAAAGCCCATGTCGAAGCCCCAATCGCAGGCTCTTAGTCCTTGCAGTAATCTTACTTAAACTCAGAGGATATGGAATAATACGAATAACAATTATTCTAAATCCATTAACAGAATATATAGCCTACCCCTTCCTAATACTCTCCCTATGAGGCATAATCATGACTAGTTCTATCTGCTTACGCCAAACAGATTTAAAATCACTCATTGCCTACTCCTCAGTTAGCCGTATAGCACTTGTTATCGTAGCAATCCTTATCCAAACCCCATGAAGTTTCACTGGAGCCACTGTCCTCATAATTGCCCATGGCCTTACCTCCTTCTTACTATTCTGCTTAGCAAACACAAACTATGAATGAATCCACAGCCGAACAATAGCCCTAGCCCGTGGCCTTCAAACCCTCTTACCTCTTGCAACATGATGACTCCTCGCCAGCCTAACCAACCTGGCCCTCCCCCCAACCATTAACTTAATCGGCGAACTATCTGCAATAATAGCATCTTTTTCATGATCACATTTAACTATTATTCTAATAGGCCTTAATATACTAATTACTGCCCTATATTCCCTATATATACTAACTATAACACAACGAGGAAAGTATTCATATCACATCAGCAGCATTAAACCCCCCTTCACCCGAGAAAATACATTAATAATTATACACCTATTACCCCTAATCCTACTATCCACTAACCCCAAATTAATTATAGAAAATATGCACTGTAAATATAGTTTAAACAAAACATTAGATTGTTGTCCAGACCAACCGGAGTTAACGGGGTACCTGAAAGAGGGAGTGGAGACTAAAAGGAATACAAGACACCTTTAGCTGCAAAGGGAGGGCACCGGGGCTAGTCCCTGAGTGACCCCGTTTCTCTTTAT